ATTGCACACACATTCATCACTCAAATACATCCATTCCCACAATAAAACTACCTAATCTGACAGTTCCAGTGTTAAGAATAGGTGTACACAAAGTGCCAGCACATTTAATGTTAATTCTATCGAAAGTCCTTCGACTTTGACAGAAAAATGGTCAAACGTTCCCACTATGGAGCGTCTCGCTGTAACGAGCACTCCGTCGAAATGGTTGACTTGGTGCGCGGAAGTAATAAAAGCTTTTAACGTTTCTTTTGTACGCGTGTGCTTAACCTTTGCGCCGGAGCGTACACTGCGTCCGCTTTCAGTGTTCCGCGATGCCCCGAACCGTGATTTATTTCTAGCCGAAGAAGTCAAGTCGGATAACGATCTAATCTTCGCATGGGAGGGAAAGGGAAAACCCACCGCGTATATCATACGAGTGATTTAACACCATCACATCAGGACATGTCTCTATTCCGCGTTGTTCACGAGAAGAACACCGGGACGGTACAAGGACAAAAGGGGCTTCTCGCTAGGGATTTTGTTTATGGTTCTAATTGATTATGTATAACCGTATTGACGAATAGCAAATTAGTATCGAGAACGAGATGAGAAAAGATGAAAGCTGACCAATGTGGCCCGCATTTCTTTCTACGGCTCTACTTATGAATAACGCGGAGTACAGTTCGTCTTTTTCGAACTGAAACTCGCTCTGTCGGCTCATATCATAAACATCATTATATTACAAACTTTTCAAAATATTACACTTTACCTTCGAATCGTACTACAAAACTACATACAAGCATCAGTCCAATTTTATAAGTTTCCAATTTTTAAAACTCATCAGCATTCCCCGTTGATTACAGCATGATTCTAGTATCCAAAAAACTGCACTAATTGTAAGATCATTTCTTCTCAAGAAATTTTGTGTCTCAACTATAAACCGTACGACAAAATTACGTGTTTTTTAAACAGTACAAGCACTTCGAATCTTTGCATAGTCCAGAATAAACCAACCGATCGTTCGTTTGCGAAATAATCCTGGTATTCAAAAAAACCTTCGCCGAGATCGCTCTCCTTCAAAAATTCATAAGGCGATATGAAATACGTTTACGTTAATTTGAGCAAAACCGGCGACTGATTATGTGCAAACGATGATTATGCACGGGTAGAAGGGAAGCAGAGCTGGAAGCAAAAAAGAAGAGATGGGCGGCGTGTTGCGCGCCGGTTCTTATCGTCCGCTTCGATCCGGCCAGGAAAATCGTAATCCTACTTTATACTTCCTTCTTACCGGGAATCATGTATGACGATGTTCTTCTCGCCGGCACATGAACCAGTGGTGTAACGTTGTTCCTGCAGACTCTGTTCACCTCCTCATTCGCTATTTTCCTTCTTTTTGAAACCTTTAACTGTCGGATTTTCTCGGTACACAGTGTTAATCATAAACTTCGTTAACAAATGCTACTCCTGTTCCTATTCGGTTATGAGCGTAAAATCGTTGTCATTCAGAATTCTTGTTGTTTTTCAGGATTCTTTTATTTCTAAAAATAAAAATAAACAAACCTGTTTTTAAACTAATTTCATAGAGCAACATTATAAACTTTGGTATTTACCATTACCCTTTGTATGCTGCATCGATACGTGAGATATTGAAAGAAAATAGCTTTAATTCCCTAATTCATCGAGTGCAAAGGGTTAATATAAAAATAAAAGTAACAAAAAATATAAAAAATTGCATTACTTATGGATGACCCAATACATAGATTTCCGAGTTATCGAGGCTCGATTGTACAGGATGGAACGAAACATAACTCGATTCTACACCTTCGGTTCGATGGATATTATAATAAAGAAGCTACCCCAAAATTCTCTTTGTTTTTAAAAAAGTAACAAAATCTTTTATTGCGTCATCGTATTCTACTCCTCGAGTAGACGAATAATCTCGAAGGAACCATCAATAAAAAATGAATAGTTTTGTTCTAAATCACCGTCGAATTTCGCGTAGAAGACTAAAGGAACGCGATATCGATTGTCCTTGATCAAACGCGTCGAATCACGCTGTAACACCGAAGTCCATACATTTCGTTCCACCCTGTACATACTGAACACGAATAATTCGAGTTGGCGTTTTTGCGTCCCGAGTTCCAGAGGTTTTTAATAGCGGAGCGAAAGGGAATGAATAGTTTTTGGTATCTTGCAATCTTGCACTTTCAAATTCCCCGCGAACACGTAAAAATCCGCTGTCTGCTCATTACCCGCGCACGATTGATGAATTTCATCTGGTGTCAGTTGATCGAAAGGAGGAAGCTCGCCGGCTAGACCTCGCGCCGCGCTGTTGCTCGGTCCCGGTGAAAAATGAGTAAAAGCACAGTCGTTTCGTATTGAGTTTCACGGCTTCGGTGCCATTAATATCGCGTCCCGTAACACCTGGATCGATACGCTCGCGAGATCGTGCGCGACTGCGAGGAAACGCTCCCCGGGAACCGCTCATTTATCTGAGAAACAACTGCGGCCCGTCCCGCGTGTGTGTTTTTATTAATAAATCATCGTCGAACTGTTCGGTTGTTCGGCCCGGGAACACAGGTAATCGTTGCTTCGCTAATGGGACTCGGAACACAAGAATTTTCATGTTCGTTGGGAGTGAAACGAATTCAACGGGGCTACGGTCAGTCGCGAAGGAACCAATTTATTTTCAATTTGTTAGCGTAGAGGCTATTAACGATTTGCCGACGTGAATTATTCAACGGAGCGGGATAACAGTGGTCTGGCTCCTGTTCCCGAGCTCTTGAGGAGAAAAGCTTTTTTCAAGTGTTCTTGGATTAATTAAATAGTAATATTCCAATTGTTGATATCAATAATTAATTTAGTTTAGTGTTAGTTAATAGTTTTATTTAAGATTTATTAAAACGTTATGCTGTCGTTTATTATTATTTGATAAAAATACGACGTCGTTACAAGTGTTAACATTATACTGTACACTTCAAGTCGCGAAGCGTTAACGTTGAGTTTTATAAAATCGTAATGAAGGGTCGACATGAATTCGTAATAAAGGGCTCAAAATTACACGGTTCCAAATTGTTCCTTTAATCACGTAATTATCAATGTTACGAGGTTCGATTCCAGAAACCGTGTATTCAGAAGATAGATCGCCGCTGACATCATATTCTTGGCAATGAGAAACCTGATATCAGATGTATCATATACAGTAACGAAAGGATTTCGATGATTCGACTCCGTGATAGCGTATTAGAATAATATTCAGGGTGCCGTTGCGTCTGATGTCATGCTGTGACAGGTACCCCGATCGAGTGTCACACATGACTCAAAACATGACGCCTGATTACACGCTCTATATGAGAAGTGGGTACAACGCGTCGTGTGTACCACTTATGTCCAACATTATGGAAATTCTTGTTAGATCTGTGCACACATCGTAATCCGGATCGCATCAGATTTATTCAAGGCGACAGATACTGTATGCAGATAACATGCGATAGGGATCGTTATAAACTTGTAAATCACGATGGCGGTAGTTTTAACACTTTCACTACCACCGAACCCAAATTTGTGTGACATAATATTTCAAGGCCCCAATACACGCTGAGAAATGCAGCAGTGCAGCATCGCTACAAGCGGGTTTGAGCCCTTTTCACTTTTCGTTTGAGTGCAACATGTACCATGAAACTTTGGGAGACTCAAACCCAACACTTGTAGCGGTGGGTTTGAGTGTTCCATCGTCGAAGGTTTCAACGTGTCTGGAGGCTTTTAGGTAAACCTAAACTCCGGTAACTTACCGAATGAACCGAATTTTGTTGGATGTACGAGATATAAGAAAGACAGTAGAACAATCGTTATAAAGAATTTTGATTTTTTAGATCAATGTTAAATATTTACGTCTTGCAACTAATAAAACAGTTTATTATCTTTATTCGTTTTTACTTATTTAAAGCTTCTAGTGTTCTAGTGTTATGGACCTGAAATGTTTTTGAACATAAATAGTTTCACTTGAATACTATAACGAAGTGTCTGAAGAAATTGGAAATAATCTATTGTTTCAATTTTTATAGAGATTACATATCGATTATATTACAGTTATATTAACATGTAATTCTTTTTCGTTTTGCTTTGGTTTTCCTTTAAAATATACCTCAGATGCATTCGTCCTGCGTTTGACGAGTGCACACTTGATTTTTCATTTTATTCTGCGCAAAACGAGAGAGTTTTTCAAACTAAATTCCACAGTTAACAAGTTAAATGCCCCGTAGTTCTAGTGTTAAACGCTCAGTAGTTCTATTGTTAAGTTTACAAGCAGGAGTCAACAGCTTTATGCCGCTGCCTGACAGGATTATTATGCGCCGATCTTCGTGGCGATTCTGTTTCCCGCTTCACGTCAATTTTTCACCGCAAAGTCGCGCCACGCGCGAGAATATTCATTGTCATCTCTTTTTCTCGAACACGACCCGGCGAGCCATTAATTTCTCCGCGCGCCGTTTTCTGCGGTCGCGAGATTTAATGTGGCCTTTAATCGCACGTCCGCGCGCCGCCTTCCTTTTAAAGGCATAACTCAATCTTCCGCTGGCCGGCGAGACGCAGGAACTTTCGGCGATCGCCCCCGATATAACGGTACTTAGCCAAAAATGTAATTTAAAGCCCATAAATCGAGCTTCATTTAGGTTCCCGGCTGACTTTCGAACGGGCTTTAATAACCTCGCGCTCGATTTTTCATCCGACACGATTTCCAATTGATGGAGGAACAGCAACGCGGCGCACGGTAGTCGATTAATCTAAAAAGTGGGACAAAAATCAATATTACTTGAAAACTTCCGTTTATGTCTTGCTAAATCATCAAACAAAATGTAATTACTAACAACTGAGAATTCACATCGTTTCCTTGCTACTCGCTACAACGGTCTGGATCATGTAAACTGCCAAGACATGATCTTTGAAGATGACTATCGTTAACAACGTGTAACTTCGAAACTTTTACATATTCTGACTTCAAATAACTTCGTAATATGGTTAAAATGGTTAAAATGGTTATGGTTAGTAAATGTGCGTGTAAAGAAGTTAAGAAAGACTACCGTTGTGATTTAAAAGAACGTTCTCAACGTAACGCAGAACGATTGAATTCTCGTTGAATAAGACACTCGAGCTTATTATAGTTTGGATGGGAATAGTATACCTCTCAAATATAAGTATCTCAAGAGTACAGTTTCGCACGTAGAGAGAAGTGATATGAAGGAGAGATTTTTGTGCTTATACGTAAAAACCTTTTAACGCGTTCACTGTCAGCCTCATACGTTTGTGCCGATAATTATCTTATGGTTTACAGAAATTGAAATTGAAATTAATACTATAGACATTGTTGTTTAACCCTTTGAGTGCCACGCAATTTCTTGAGGTAAAATATATGGAATGAAAAATTGTGATGTCAAATTATCTAATAGATAATAAATATCTTGCTGAATGTCACCGTATTAGGTAGTTTAGACATCCTGTATAGTAATGCGAAGTAATGAATTTTTATTCAGTGGAAGTTTAACCCTTTCGCCTCGAAGAACGTACACATATGTGCTCAAATAATTGTCGCTTATGTAAGAAGAGTGAATTCTAACGTATGAAAAGTTGTGTTTTCGATAACATTGAACAATGTTTTATATATTTGGTAATATTTTTCCCAATGATGCGTTTCAAATGTTCGTATCGGTTTGCGACCAACATTTTCGTTCAATTCCCAACATTTTCCGAACAATTGTACTTCAAAATTTGAATCAAACCAACAATCTACCTGGACTGATGTGGTCGACATGTTACAACTTTATTCATTCCTCGATTTCCGTTCTCATTAAATAGAGATCTATAAAAATCTGCTTGCAACGCGTTCCATTCACAGAGTTAATGATAAAGGGTTAATTGGAACGGTATTGGGTGTCGTTTACGCAGCGTGTCTTTGATATTGCGGCGAAAAATTTAAACGGGAATGGATCCATCGGAAAAAATAATTAGAAATCGGGGGATAATATTTTTTTCATTAGCGACTTCGTTTCCGAGATAATCGACTTGGAAAGTTCGCGTGACACGCACACGTTAGTATTTACGAGAAGCAGAAACGATAAGTCATGAGCAGACATGATAGACTGTTACTATTGAACGGCACGCGCGACCGACTAATTTTCCAACCCGATTATCTCGGAAACGAACGTACATATCGCGCCAAAAAGTTTTATTCCACGTTTTTCCTTTGCTTAGCTTTGCACGTGGATTCATCCTCTTTCCTAGTTATATCGAGGTTTTGGAAACACTTTGTATCTACAGTATGTTCGAAAGGAAATATTGAATTTTGTTTCTTGGATTTTATAGAAGTAACTTTATGAATAAGTAATTATGTTTTAAAGTTAAATGATTTCAAATTGCCCAAAATTTGTATGCTTTCGATGATAACTTTATATTCTTAAAGGATTATTAATTAGAATTACATTTACGTGAAAACCAACTTCATTTATTAATGACATTATTATGTTTTAGAAAAGGTATAAAATTATCGATGAATTTTATAATACTTTATTCGGAAGTATCTAGACTAAATAGAAGATAATGAAAAATTTTCGAATAATATGAAATATAAGAGTTAGAAATTTAAAAAAAATGTCAAATCAATTGAATGCTTCAGCTTTCTAAATGTAGGGTTGAAGATTTAACAACAATTTTTGCTTTCACATTTCAATTCAGCGTTTCATGGTCATCTTTCCTGGGGCCTCTGCTTTTTTTGGGGACTAGCAATTTTAAAACACGAATCCTGATTGATGATTATGTCAGGCAGATGACGAACGGTCTTGTTCGATGTTTGCTTTTTTTGTGAATAGTCCTTTGTAAATGCTACGTGGTGTTGGGTGACCTCGATCTTTTAATGGCACAGTATTGTGTCGAAGTTTTATTGAATCGTTTATTATTTAGGTAACAATAAACAATGGTAAAGCTTTGTTATTTATTAGGCGTTCACCTTCTATCAGGGAACACAATTACGTGCCAGTTTCATGTAAATGGAGTCTTTCGTAACTAGTGTAAAAAAACTGTACTCATGCTAAATTTAGGATTATTAGGTAACTGCAAAGAGTTCCTGTTCTTCGTCTATAGGATCAGTTCATTTAATTAGCTTTATATTAACGCTAAACTCGTACGTGTATGCAAACAGAAATATTTTAAGCCATTATAGCAACTAATTAACACCGTCTAAATGATTTATCCGATAAACGTTATCCACAAAATAATCAAAGATGATTTTATTTATCTTTCATTGAATAATTCCCTGAATATAATGATTTTTGTAATAATTTTTTGATAACAGGGAATACTATTTTTCAGCTGTGTTTTAATGGAATTCATAATATATTCAATTTTTTTTGTTACTAAGATGCTCAATATTAAAAATTCTATGTATATGTATTTTCTAATATTTACCACAGACTTAACTTATTTTTATTATGATTTAAAGTATTTGAATTCTTCAATTATCTAATTTTACTTCAACGATATCTCTTAATTCTTACAACTCCTTAAGTTTATTATACCAAGAACAAGGCAATAAATCAACGTTCGCATACTCGAATTATTATAGAATACTGAAACTTCAATTAATTAGTCTTAGTTTAAAGCCAGAAAGAATTGTACAAAGTCGTCGCGAATAACATTAGGTATTCTGTACCTTCTTGTTATTTAGGAGCAGGTAATAACCAAGATTTGTGCTTTGATTGATTACAGGTACTCCAACGAGACATAGAGGCGCACGGTCGAATCGTCAGTTCAGTGGTGAAACTGGGCGACAAAGTTTACACGCAACAATTAGAGAAACGGCAAGAACAAGCGGAACAACAGGAACAAGGAAACGAACGAGACCAGTGGGAACCGCCGCAGGCTTTACGAATCGTAAGATCTCTGGAACGTCGTTGGCATCTGCTGTTTCTACGTGCCTTGGAATGGCAATGCCACATCGAGACACTTGTATCTCGAATAAACAACAAGGTGAGTCTCACTGATTATCTTCTTCCTTTATGATTTTGGTTCCTTTATATCATCTTACTTAATGAACAGACAATGTATAACAGTGCTTCTCAAAATGAACATTCTTTAAAAAAATATTTGAATATATCTTTAATATATACATATTTAATTTAAATGTTTAATTATAAGTAAACCATTCTTCCAAATATTTTTCTAAGGCAATTAGTTAAGGGAATTCTTGTTACTCGACTTGTTCATTTGAATAATGATTATGAATTATTTACAGCAGATTATTCTATTTACTCTTTAAATAAGTGTTATATACATAGAAACTAATGTGAGAAGAATTTTACAGTAATGTTTAACAAAATAATTTTAATAATAATTAAATAACAGTCAATAATTATTCGTGTACAGGGCGTTTAACGTAAGGGGCCCATAATTTTCGGTCATGTTCGCTGATCCAATAAAAAATGTTGTCAAATGAAAGTTAATCAGTTTTAAATCTTCTACAAATTGAAATATAAAAAGATATTTAACAAGAGATTTTTTCGATAGAAAGTCAAGGCCACCTTGTTCAAGGAAACTTTGTATTTTTTATTTCATCGTGATATATCTGATGCCAAGGTGAAGTCAACGACCCATTACACCCCGACCTTCAAATTACATTGAAGAAGAATCCTTGTGGATTCGCACGTAAACGCTCTTTTCGTTTTCATAACACTGCTTAACCACGACTAGTTCCTTGCGAAATGTAAAGAGTAGATCGTCTCGTTACAAAGTAAATATATGCAATCGTCTTTTAATTTACATTTTAAAAACGATATTTTTAAACTTCAGACGAATTTATGACAAGTCGATAGAGATCCTTCCAAACCGATTATCCGAAACACGGTTCGTCTTCCAATTAGTTCAGCCAATCGGTGTTATACTGTAACTGAAATGTGAATAATAACATGCGACGATATAATGCATGTTGCGTGTTCACATTTACCTTACGTACTATATGCTTCTACGATTTTGTTGCGCTCAGGCTCGTTTAAACGCGTAAAAACTGCACCTCGGAGAAGTGAATGATGCAGTGCCAGCTTTAACCAGTTAATTGTGTTCGACGAGTATACCCGTCATCTCGACACCGAAAATAATACTAATTTCGTCAAGAATTAATTATTTACTATTTCAGATGAACATTTAATTCATGCTCAATTTTGCGTTAGTTTTCTTATTTCAATATGCATTACGATACATATTTTCGTAACGGCATCAATCAAAATCGACCCAGAGATTTACCAAAGCGTGTTTATAAAACTCAGTATGAATCAGATTGACTCGTTCCATAAATCTAAAAAGTAAAAAAGTAAAAAGTAAAAAGTAAAAAGTAAAAAGAACAGTGTTAAAGAAACGGTCGGTTCACGAGATTTGGAGCTCTCGGGCAGGCCATTAATACGGAGAGATCGCGGCGCGTTCCTTTTCATGCTCGTTCATCCCGGCGTGTTCGCGTGAAAGTCCATTCGCAAAGCGCTACCCATAAAAATTTATTAATTTAACTGCGCGGCACGCGATTCGACGGTATTTTATTCCCCTTCTCGAGTCCAACTTCGAGTCTCTCCGAATGACGCGCGCAGTGCGTAGGACGAAGGAAGTTTCGAGGTAAACATGAAATTTGCAATTTTTATGAATGTATTTCCAGAAATCAAAGTATTTCACTGATTTCTCTGACGAATAATCAGTAGAATTCGGAATCTGTACAATATTATTACGTTATAAATGTTATTATCATTTTCTCGTATCATGTGCATTCATTAGAATTCTGCACTCTCAAATGTCCCATAAATGCATAAAAATCTGCAGTTGAATTACTATTTTACATCACAAAAGAAACATTTTCCGTTTCCTCAGTTTTGAATAATGTTTAAAAAAACAAGATTTAGCCGAAGTTGATAAAAATAGTCTCTATTAAAATATTAGTACATCTTTAAGCAAATAATTACAGAAAAGAATAATATTAATGTAATCAGATGAAAGTTATACTAAAGTAAAGGGATTAAACTAATATTAAAGTAAAAGGATTTGCTGCGACATAAAGACACTTGCAACACAATGAGCTTTACGATGTAGGTGACTGAAAAGACGACTGAACCATCGAATCGTCCTGTCGTTAAATAACAAAAATATTTAGGATCCTAAAAGTTATTACTACATACACATCTCTCACGGACACGTGCAGATCTAGGGTCTGGTTTCCACCTTAGTAGCGATTGACCTGTCGTAAAACTCTAGATATGACGCATCGGTTAATAAATCTATTGACCACGTGCTCATTTAGACCTAGTAGACCTGCAAAGCAATTTTCTACCCTGTGCGGTGCAATAAACGGTATACTTAGGTTTCAAGACACCACTCGTAATTAACATTTAACTACCGAATATAAGTTTATTTACCTTAACACCAGATTCACGGAACGAGTCAATATGACTCATATTGAATTGTATAAACATCATTTGGTAAACTTTTGGAGTCGATTTTGATTGATGCAGTTACACAAACGTGAATCTTAATTATCTACCTTTAAACCTCTAATCCTTAAATTCAGATGAACGAATATCGATTTTTCCAAGGACGATAGAACAAACTGTACAGTAAATGTCCGTAAATCTAATGTTAAAAGTGTTAAATATTCGAAATGATTTTGAGAATAAACTGGTTCACTTAACTCCTTGACCTACAATATCTTTATAGAAATTGTAACAATAGATTTTTTTCGCTTTCTGTACATATACATTTTAGTATCTAACTCCTTGTATTATGTTTTATTTTACAATTATGATCGACACCACTGCTTCATCGTTAATAATTTATTAGAAAAAGAAAACATTTTGACGCTTATTCTACGTCTACGTTTACTCCGAAGGTTAACGATTGATAATAGAAAAATAATATTTAATTTGAATTCAAGGGGATTATGACATTATTGTTTATTAATTCTGTTTGAAGTCTCCGTCACTAGTCTCGCGCGATGCTGTAGGGCAAGGGGTTAATTTGATCCATACGTTACAACCTCGTTCAGTCCTCGAACTCTTGAATCCCATTCAATTTATGAAGCTTATAAAATATGAATCTACACAAATATACAACATAAACCGTAGTATTCATTTATTTCTCAAATGAGAATCGCAAATAATCCATTCGCACGATCATAACCGATAAAGTCGATTTCTCTTGTCTGCTCTAACACCTACAGCAGCGACGGTTTTTAATTTCATCGCGCGAGCAACTATGTAACGCCGCAAGCGCCTCGTGTGCCAATTCTCATCTTTATCGTAACGCATTCGTATGACACACGCCGGTAATCATCGATAGCGGTTTTCACCGATTAGATACCGGGAAACGCGCGCACCGGTCTCCCATCTGACAGGTGAACAAGCCTGCACTCGGCCCGATATGCGCGGGATCGCATGTTGCTTGCGAGTGCATTCTGTAATTTCGAAGCAATCAGGGCTTCATTGACCTACATGCTGACGATTGATTGAATAGCAACGCCCGACCGCCTCGGCGGACGATTTGAATGAAAGTATCCCGACAAGTGAAAGAGGGAAATAATGTTGAAAAGTGAGACCAGTGGGACTAGCTGATACCTTCGTTTTATTCACTCTTCTTTTTTACTAGCAGTGGATCGATGCTGGTTAGTAAAAAAGCGAGAAACGAGAACTCTTTCTTATCAATAATGTTTTATTCGTCGTATCTTTATATTTCTTTGTAATTCGGTCAACGCTTGAAGCGTTGGCTTATTGTTTTTGACATATCTATATTGAGAAATTTGATTGTTTAACTCGTCTTTCAGAAAACTTGACATACTACTAAATACAATAATGCTTCGCATTCAATAGCAAATTCTTAATTGATGTCTAATCATTAATATCATTGCTTCCTATTACTAATAAAGTGTTTCCCATGGTAACGAACACGTCAAGCTATTTAGTTTTCGAAATATTGTGGATCTCTCTCTCTCTCTCTCTCTCTCTCTCTCTCTCTCTCTCTCTCTCTCTCTCTCTCTCTCTCTTACTGGATGTAGTGTGATTTTATATTGAACAGTTCACAAGTTAAATTATAATACGAAATTCCGTGGAAAATGTATGCCCAATAACTGTTCAGGATTATTTCACATGAAAATCTCCGGTTTCTAAGGAAACGGTGCAAGGAATGAATCATTTCCTTTACGATGGTTTGTTATCATTTTTAATCTACGATACACTGGACCTAGGTAAATTACAGCGTAACATATTTACGTTCGATAGCGGTTTTTATAAGACGGTTCTTGCAGTTTCACGGTGTTCTAAAATAAAAAGCTAGGGAATTGTGAAAGTGAGCCCGATACTTTGTTTTCATGCAAATTTACGTGTTTACGGGGTAATGTTTGAAAGCTGCAGTTATTTAAGTCTCCGCTTCCTGTATGAAAACATCGAATACCGCAGCCCCCACGCGTTCGCTGGAAATGTGTTTAATAATTTACGTGACACATAAATATGTAGCACAGGGAAGGAGCCTGATCGGTTTTTAATTAATCGTAATAAAATCGAAATGGAGTTTTCGAACGTTTAAGGTTTATTATCGATGCGTATTTTTCGAAAGAGATATACGAGTTCATATTCGGTTTTACACGCTGCGAAATGGATTTTAAAAAATAACCAAAACGAAGAAGTGGCTAAGAACCGCTTTCTATTATGTATAAATCTTTCTAAGTGTTACAGACTTCGAGAAAGTTGCAACTATTTATATGGAAATATAAAATATAGCAAAGCAACGTCGAGAGTAATAACATTTAACGTTGGAAAACAGAACTATCTATAATCGAGTTTGCTTTACGCGTTTAAAAAATGTTTGTAACGTATAGAGATTGGAAATTAATTTTTAATTTGTGGATATTTTATTATGATAACAAGGGCTTATAGCTTTAAAGTTATAATGGAGGACGACATTTGCATGCAGGCAAACTGGTTAGGTAGGCTAACTTGTACGCAAAT